TGTCACCAACGCACGTGACCTGGCGCCGAGTCGGGAGACGCTCTCAAGTTAGGAACAAGCCCGGGCAACAAAAGCCAAGGAGCCACAAGCAGAGAACTGGGGGAACGGGAGAAAAAGAGGTGTAGGGGTGGGTCCCTGGCGCTGGAGCTGGAGCGGGAGCGACTAGGAAAAGGGAGAAGGGGGGATTGGGGGCGAACAGAAATGGGAACTGGCAGACCGAGGCAGGAAGGGAGAAGTGTGAGGAAGACCAAACAGGAAAGTGAGGGGAAGAGCTGACAAACCCCAAACCCACGGCCCCTTTCGCCAAGTGAGGGGCCGAGGGTTTTACCACAAAGAGACACACCTTTTTTTTCCCCTTGTGAGAGGAAAGTTAAGGGCATTAAGGGGGAGGGAGGCTAACAAACCCAAGAACCCCGTTCTTGCCAGTTATGGGGGGAACCTGTGGACGTGGTGTTGTAAAGCGGACCCACGTTTGGGCCTCGTTGGGAAGGATAAAGACTGGGCCCCAGATACTGGGGATGCCCGCCCACACAGCTTTTTAAGACAAGGAGCCAGGAGTCACTGTGGTAACTAAAACTTTAGGTCTGACAACTTGCCTAATAGCTTACAGGGGAAGAGGCAGAAGAGGTGATGAGCCCAGGGCTGAAGGCCGATGGCGGAGGAGCCTAGAGGGCTCTCTGCTCTGTCAGAGGAAAAGAACCCTGCATGAAGAGTTAGGAGAGCCTCTTCTTCCTCAGGGTCTGCATCTAACCTCTCATGTGATGTAGGGAGATTATGATCTCTCTGGTAATGTTTACATATCTACAAACTGGGCATTCACACTAGACCTACTCACCGGGTTATTTATAGTGAGGAGGGACGAAGACTGGGTTTGACTCTGTACACATCTGGGTGGATTAACTGTGTCTAGCAAAGCCAGAGGAATCGTGTTGATGCATATCAGCTTCTCATGTGGATCCTTTTAGGACTGAGATGCACTTCTCTGACCTAGAAAGTAATTTATAAGGACGTTCAGTAGGTATAGCATACATTACAGAATCTGAAAGACTCACATTCTGACCCTCTGAAGACCCTCATAATCCTGTGGTCAATTCATTCACAACAATACTGGTTAAGGGGCTCAGCTGACACACAGGAGTAATGATCAAAATGTGCTGGTCATTTGACCTTACTTTGAGTGGTAGAGCAAGGCTGTAACTTGTCAACTGAACAGTTTCATAGAAATTGAATATGCTTTGGATTTTAGGTTTTGGCAAATCAGGCTCATCCTAATATTTTCTGTCGAATGTCATTGCTATATTTAGGGAACCCTACAGTCTCATGTTTACATGAAAGACAGGCTGACTCCCTGCTGTGGGGGTGACCCTTTTCCCATCTGTCAGCATCCTCCTATCTATTTTCCCTGGAGCTCAATACACTCCATTATCTACTCCAACAAAAGGGATCCAACCTCAGGTTTTGTTGTGAAGGACCACAGGGCAGGTCCGCATGCCTCCCATTCAGAAATAAAACATGATGACAGTTACAGGGTCTAATTTTTTAAAAAGTCAAATTAAGACCTACCTTTTTCCAGCTTGATAAGGTTTATCACAGTTAAAGGCAAAATGTGAAAGCATACCATACTTTGTTATGATGGAGAAAACAATGAGATAGATCATGCTTCCAAAGATGGACACAGTAGTATCTCCTTTATCATGGAATAGAGTCTGTTTTTCCTCTCCTTGAATCTGAAGTGACCCTGTGACTACTTTGGTCAATAGAATGTGGCAGAAATAATTTTCTAGGACTTCCAAGCCCAAGCATTAAGAAAGCTTAACAGCTTCTGCCTTGTATTCTGGGTAAAGCCAGCTACCATGTACAAAATTTTATTACGCTGAGACCACCATGCTGTGAGGACATCTAAGTTAGCCACATGGAAAACCATGTGAGAGACTGAGATGCCTGGGCAGGCCCCAGCTATTCAGCCCACCCTAGCTGAGGTACCAGATATATGAGTTAAAAAGCCCTCTTGGAAGTTCTAAACCTTGCAGATACCATTTGGAAGAGAGATGAGCCATCCCCACTGAGCCCTCCCAAAATTGGAGAATTGAAAGCAAATAAATGTTGTTTTAAGGCACTTAATGTGGTTTTTAGAAGGGGTTGTTTTTAAAGCAGCAATAGATAACTAAAACAAAAGGTTAAACAATATAAAGTCCTATAGCACACAGATCAGCCATCTCTAAACTCTACACGGTAGGTTTTTGTAATAATAAAAAAAATTGTCTCAGCAGTCATTTGCTTTCTATTTATTCTCTTGCTGATTTATAATCTTCCCACCTGGTGCTTGTTTATCCCAGGGGTGTACCAAGTAGGGGGGGACTGTGGGAGAAGTCTGCCTGTACAGTGATTATTTTATCTCTGACGTTATTTAGAACTGCTGGCACAATAATACAAATAATACAAAGCAAACTGACTTCTAGGCAGTATCATTATTGTCTTTAAATACTCTTCAGACAAAAAAAAAAAAAGCCCTGCTTATTGCCTTCACTCAGGGCAGACTGCTCTCACTGCCTCCCTCCTTAGGCGGCCACTGGTTTAGCCTTCGGAGAGAGGCTCGGGAGTAATGTTGTCTCCACAGCATAGAGCTGAGTACAACCAAACTGTCAAATCACACAGTTGCAAACCAGCCTCTCATCTGTTGGCTGACAGAGACCCAGCGAGGGTCCCTGCCTGGGCAGACACAGTGAATCCAACCATCCTTTAATTTGAAGGATAATTCTTCTTAGTGTGTTGCTATATAGTACCCGCTTCCAGGCTGACTCCCTGCTGTGGGGGTGACCCTTTTCCCATCTGTCAGCATCGTCCTGCCTATTTTCCCTGGAGCTCAATACATTCTCTTATCTACCCGAGCAAAAGGGATTCAACCTCAGATTTTGTTGTGAAGGACCACAGGGCAGGACCACATTTAAGCCCACATCCAGACACAATGCAGCTAATGCCCCTGCCTCCTGCTTACTAAAGCAGGCTATAGCCATCACCCTGCCAGTTGTGTTGAGGCTGCTAAAGAATGCTGCTTCCTACCAAGCCTCAGATGGAGAACCCCAGAGGGTGGCTGCTCAGGGCAGCCTCGGAACACAAAGCAACAAGTTGTCCAGCCTGTACTGAGGAAAAATCCCAACGTGAAGTCTGCCTAGATAATTTTCAATCTATCCATCAACCAATAAGATCTACCGGGCATTTATCATACACCCAACATGTTGGCAGGTATCTGCAAAGACGGATTTTTTTTTTTTAATTTAATTTTTGGTGAAAATATATATAACAAAACATACACGCATTCAACATCTTCTGCATGTACAGTTCATTGACACTGGTCACAGTCTTTGCATTGTATCAGCATTCTTGCTGTCTCTACCCATACTGCTTCACCATCATCAGCTTAGACCCTCTGTCCCCTAAACTTCTCTACTGTGTCTTAGAGTTATTGTTGTCAATTTGATCTCATATAGATAATTCTTTAAAAAAGCACACTGCTCAACGTGAACATTGTTTACTAGTTGAGCTAAACTGTTGTTTAGTTTGAAGATGACTTCATGGGATAGTTTAGGTTCCAGGTTTAAAGATTATCTCAGGGCAGTAGATTCAGGGATTCGCCTAGTCTCAACAAGTCCATTAAGTCTGGTTTTATAAGAATTTGAAATTCTGTTCCCCATTTTTCCTCTTTTTGATCAGGATCCATCTGTTGGGTTCTTGATCAAAACGTCCAGTAATGGTAGTGGGGCACCATCCCATTCTTCTGGTCTCATGACAAGGGAGGTAATTGACAAGGGTAGTAGTTCATGAAGGCAATTGGATCTGCAGTCCGTTTCCTTTTCAGATTCCTGGGTCTTCTTCCTCTGCCGTTCCAGGTGCATAGAAACTAATTGTTGTGTCTTGGATGCTCACAAGGTTTTAAGACGCCAGGAACTACTCACCCAACTAGGAGGTGGAACAGTCTCTAAAAACAGTATTAGGCCAATTGACTGGACAGACCCTCGAAACCATGACCCTAAACCTTTGAACCAAGAAGACGCATCCCACAAGGTGTTTAGTTGTACCTAAGCAGTGGTTAAGAGCTACGACTGCTAACCAAAAGGTCAGCCGTTCGAATCCACCAGCTGCTCCTTGGAAACACTATGGTGCAGTTCTACTCTGTCCTGTAGGGTCGCTATGAGTCGGAATCGGCTCAATGGCAATGGGCTTGGGTAAGTTGTATTAACAATGGCTACCTCTCTTATTTATTTATTTATTTGGCAGCGGTTGTTGTAAAATTATGTATAACACTATATTTGCCATTTTACCCCTTTTCTGGTGTACCTCTTAGTGATATATATATGTGTATATATATTTGTCAAGTTGTGTAACCATTACACTTAGTCAGTGCCAATTTTCCTATCAACATAAACAAAAATTTACTATTTCACAGAGACAGATTCCTTCTCCCCCTCCCCTTCCTGCCCCTGGTAGCCACTAATAACTAATGGTCTCTATTTATATATTTCTTGTCATTTCATATAAGTGAGTTCATACAATATACAATAGTTGTCCTTTATTTCACTCAGCATAATGTCTTCAAGATTCATCCATGTTGTAGCATGTATCAGGATTTTTTTTTTAATTGCATTTTAGAAGAACAATCACTTGAAATTCCAGTGAAATCTATTGTTCTACCTGAAGGGAAGGAAGGATCTGCCTGGGTCTCCAGAAAGCCTGGACCAGATGGAAACGAGAGGTTCAGTGAACTCCACTTTCTGAAATGAAAACAGAATTCAGAAATCTAACTCGGCTGCCAGTTACCGTTTCAGGAAGGAATCAGGAATTATACCAGCGTCATAGCATAATAGCATTTCAAGACCTTGGAACCGTCGTAACTCCCGTATGCTACTTTGTTTACTCTTTTAACCCAATTTCCACATGATGATTAGAAATAAAATCCTTAAAATGAAAAGAGTCTGTGTGCTATGTGCTGGCTGAGGTACCAGAAAGGAGGGGGGATGTGGCACCACCTCATTCAGTAGCCAGTGCTGGGGGAAAGAGCCCTCGAGGGCTCTAGTCTGAGGTGGCACCTGCTGGATTTTCAGTAACCAATGACAGTCTCCCAGACTGAAACTTCTTTCTCCAGTTTCTGTAAAGTCCTAACTTGAAAGGCTTTTTAGTTTCTAGGCGAACGCACAGATAAGAACCCAATTATTTAGAATTATTTTAAAACTCAACCTTACAGCAGAGCAGTAGAGCGAAAAGCAAGGTCATTCTTTAATGGATGTGGCCTAGATTCATGATATTGAATGTCCCTCCATACACCACCTCCCCAAGGAGCCGGGAAGGTTGAACTAACCCACTTTGTGTGTGTTGGGGGGCGGGGCAGAGCGACTTGGTCCTGGGGCCATTGCCGGCAGTTATCTGAAGTGTGTGAGCGAAGGTCTTTTGTAGCTCCCGCTGCCAAAACTACCTGTTCATTCACACAGCTATATCTGGATCACTGCCCAGAAGTCCATATGTGCCAAAGGTGGCCCAAGATGGGGTCTGTAACTGTGAATTGCTCTCTTATGGGGACAGCTTGAGTAGAATGTGTCATTCTGCCCTTCTAGAGAGGATGACACAGACACTAGGATTGCTACTTATGTAACCTACTATGCTGCTTACCTAATCTGCCTTTTAAAGGAAAGCTTGTGTATTTGGGTCATTATTTTTGTTTGAATTAACTACCTTAAATATCCATTACATTTTACAAGATTGTGTTCTTGAATGTCCAGATTTTTCAAGGCTTTGGCAAAGCCAGGTCTAAGTGTTTTGATAATCTGAGACAGGATTTTAGACTTCTGTTCTTTTAGTGCCTTTTCTGCTTCATTCCTTTTTGATCGGCATAGTCATTTCATTGCCTTTGCAGTGTGGAGAGGGAGGATATGACGAGCACAGTCCTGTAAGGCTGAACCTCATCCACTGATTGATTCAGGCCACAATGTGTCTTAAGTGCCTTCTGTGTTCACATCAGTCATTCATTCAACAAGTATTTAATGAATAAGAAGCTTCTATCTAGTAGAGGGGATACAATAAGCAAATAAATACATAATATAATGGGTATAAGGAGTCCCTGGGTGGCGCAAATGGTTACTAACTGAAAGGTTGCCAATTTGAATCCACCCAGAAATGCCTCAGAAAAAAGTCCCGGCGATCTACTTCTGAAAAATCAGCCATTGAAAACCCTGTGGAGCACAGTTCTACTCTGACACATGTGAGGTTGACATGAGTCAGAATTGACTTGATGGCAACTGGTTTTGGTGATGTAAATATGAGAGTTATCAGCTTTTGATAATATTTAAAGCCGTAGAACTGGATGAAATGACCAAGGGAGAATATGGACAAATAAGAGAGGGTAAAGACTGGGCCTGGGGTCTGATATTTAGAAGAAAGAAGAATAAGGAGTATCTGGCCAAGAAGACTGAGAAGGAGCAGTGTGCTAAGTGTGGTTTCCTGGAAACCAACTACCGAAAGTGCTTGAAGAAGGAAAGCCTGAGCAAGGTGGGCCAGGTGCTGCAGAGATGCCGAATATCATGAGGACTGAGAAGTGGCCTCTGGATTCGGCAAGATGGTGGTCAGTGGTAACCTCAGTACGGGACTGGTGGCTAGGAATCCTGACGGGAGTGGGTTACAAAGAGAATGGGAAATTACAAGAGAGAGAGAATGGGAGGCAAGAAGCAGAGAGAAAGTCCTAATTTTGCTGTAGAGGAGAGCAATGAATTAGGGTGGCACTAGAAGGGAATGGAAGATAAGAAATTTCGTCTTTATTTTGTATTTTTCCTGTGGGAGAAATCGCAGCTGCTGGTATGCTGATAATAATGGTGTGGTAGAGAGGCTGAAACTGTCCTTGCAGTAGAGAGGGAACTACAGTAGCAAAGTCCTTGAGTACCTGAGACGGGATGGGATCAAGAGGTGTTAAATGACCTACCCGGGTCACATAACCTGTGAGTGGCAACGCTCACACTTGGCCCCAGGAATTCTAACTCAGATACTCTAGTCTCTTTCTCACCAAACTACATTTCAGTTCCTATCTTGGGAGCAGCAAAAACCGTAATAATCCATAGGGAAGGAAGCAGAGGAGCACAGAGGAGGAAACCAAGTCATGTATCAAATTGTAGCTATCCCGGACTACCTATAGATGCCCCTGCTCAGGGCTTGGCAGGGAGGTGAAAGAGTTCAGACAGTCAGAGAAGAAGAGAAAGGGATATTGATGAGGCTCCGTTTGACTTATTGATGAACTAAAACACTCCCAGGAAGTCCAGTGTCAAAAGTGGATGAGTATTTGAGTCTGTGACTCAGTGCTGGCCTCTTTATTTGAACTGGCCTACCGGTCCAGTTCACCACTGGCTGTTTCAGATTGTTACATCATCAGCTTTTCATATGCAGATTGCTACCCTCTTTCACCAGCCCTGCGAGCACGTGGCTTTGTAATTTTGCTTCTACAAACTCTCTTATCGCAGCACTTGCATGGCAGAGCCCAGGTGTTAAACAAATCAATCAATAAACAAACCTTGGCTTCACATTTTGTACAGACAATTTTAACTGACACAGAAAAAGGTCTCTTAGCTGCTGCACAGCCTGTGTCATGAGGTCTCTGCCTGGAAACGCTTCCTTTTTCCAATTTTTGTTTAAATAGCAGCTTTATTGAGATCTAATTCACATGCCATAAAATTCACCCATTTCAAGTGTACAGTTCGTTGGTTTTTAGTATATTCACAGACTTGTGAACACGTCCTTCTTGACACTGCGGTTTTACCTGAGTAGACAGATCAAACTCCCAACCTTAGCACGGCTCTGCTATTTTAGCCATGGCAATTTCCAAACCAGTAAAGGTTATCTGACCACCACCCATCTGTCAGTTTTTCCTACTGTGGTGACTTGCATGTTGCTGTGGTGCTGGAAACTGTGCCACCAGTATTTCAAATACCAGCAGTGTCACCCATGGTGGGCAGATTTCAGATGAGCTTCCAGACTGAGATGAAAGAAAGACCTGGTGATCGACTTCCAAAAATTAGACAATGAAAACCCTATAGATCACAACAGAATATTGTCTGATATAGTGCTGGAAGATGAGCCCCCTAGGTTAGAAGGCACTCAAAATACACAGTGGCCACAACAATGGACTTGAACATTGTGACGATGGTGTGGGGCTGAGCAACATTTTGGTTTGTTTTGTTGTACATGGGGTCGCCATGAGTCAGAGCTGACTCAATGGCAACTAATAACAACAAAGGTTGTTGTAGATATGACTGTGACTTCACTGGTGCCTAGTTAGCAGCCGACTAATTGTCCAAGTTCACCCAGTGAAAATGCTCAGTGTCTGTTACGTGGTCAGCTGTTGTGGAATGGGATAAACAAGTACTTGAGGGAGAAGTTTTTAATCCAGCAAGGGATGGATGCCTTACTTGGTACTCAGACAGTGGCGCCTGTATATTTGTAATCGGGGTAGCATAACACTAAATCCCCTACATGTGTTTCACATCTTCTCACCAACCCTTTCCCCTAAATGCTCCATTTCTTTTTCCTCCACAGTGTTTGTTTTGAAACCACACGTCCTCTTTCCTCTCATGGAAACCACCTGTAGCAGCAACCACTGGAGCTTCAGCAAACATTTGATTTTGATAACAAGGTATTTTGAACATCTGTGGTTACAATTTCTATTTTTGTCCCTTACTGCATAACTTTTTTTTTTTTTAATCTGTTTCTCTCTTTTACGGGTAGTTTTGCATTTCCCAAGCATTTGCCCTCTGCCAAACACATCAGCTGCATAGACTTTGACAAGACTGTTGCAAGATTCCTCTGTCATTATTATCCCCAGAAAATGTCTTGTGAAAGATTCCAAAACCCTGCGAGGCCACAGTGTGGACTTTTTGGCTTCATATTGATTATGCACAATCATCCCCAAATACTAGGAGCCATGCCAAGAGAATGTTCCTTTTCTGAAATTTGACCTATAAATGCAGAAAAACACAGAGGTCTCTGGATGGTACAAATGATTTGTGCTCAACTACTAACCTAAAGGTTGGCAGTTTGGACACACACAGCAGCACTGTGGAGGAAAGACCTGGTGATCTTTTGTAAAGGATTACAGCCAAGAAAACCCTTCAGACCACAGTTCTACTCTGTAACACGTGGAGTTGCTTTGAATTGGAATCGACTTGATGGCAACATGTTTGGTTTGGCAGAAGAACACAGTAAAATAAACCACTCGGTCCTAATATGAAAATTTGTTCTCTTAAGTTCTATTGTTTCTAATGACTTACATGCTTTCAATATACAGTACTTTTATCTACATTATTTACATTGGTCCTCACATTAATTCAGTGAATGAGTCAGGGAAACCATTATTATTCCTATTTTATAGATCAGAAAACTGAGGTTTCCTGGCTAACAAATAATACAATTTTAGTAAAAATTAGGTGATATAAAAAAAAGAAAAAAGGTAGGTGATTTGAATTCTAGTCCAGGATTTTTTCTTACCATAATACTGGCTATTATGTATGGCTGTGGTTCTCCACCTTTTGATGCATCAGAATCCCCTTGAGGGCTTGTTATAACACAGATTGCTGGGCCCCACCACCAGCATTTCTGATTCAGCAGATCTGGGGTGGGGCCCTAGAATTTTCGCATTCCACACTCATGCTCAACCGCCTTCTCTCTTGCCTTCCCATTATCAGCCTCCGTTGCAGGTAGGAGTGACCAAGGACATGTAAGCAGAAGTCTTCTGGGTGGGGATTCTGGGAAAACTTGTGCTTTCCTGATGAACAGGGACAGACATGGCTCTTCACACGACCTACTTCTTCCTGCCTAGAAGATGTATATAATACTCAGAGGAGCTGCAGACATCTTATGACCAACACACTAAAATTGGCAGGAAGGAAGGACAGGAAGAGGCTGAGTCCCTGGCAGCCCTGGGTTGCTTACCTCCAGACTTATTTCTGTGTGATAAAAATAAACCTGTAATTATTTAAGCCACTGTAGTCAGGCTTTCTGTTACTTGCAGCCAAATTCATCCCTAACTGACACAGAAAAAAGGGATAGAATGGTGCATGACAGTCTGGGGGACTACATGAGAAAGGGCATTTAACAAGCATTTATTGAGGCCCTATTCTGTACCTGACATTGTGCCAGGTGAATGAGACATGGTTTCTGCCCCCAAGGTGCTCATAGTTAAGGTGAAAAGACCACCATGTAAACACGTAAATAATAATACAGTGTGATAAGTACAGAGGTCTAAACAAAATGCTGTGGAAACCCAGAGAAAGAACCCTGCATAGGGAGGTCAGGGAAGGCTCCCAGGAGGTAACATAGGAGCAAAGTCTTGAAGGATGAAAAGAGTATGCCAAGCAGAGAAGAGAGAAGAAAGCTCTCTGTACTTGAGTTTCTTCTTTTTTCCATCCTTGGTGGCCAGAGGCTGGCCCAGCTAGGGGTAGGTTGGGACAAGGACTGTAGCAGGATTTCTAACTAGACAACAGAAGATTCCAAAACCCAAGCTGCCAGCAGGGCCGACAGCTCACAGGAAACTCAAAGTACAAAGAGCAAGGTAGAAATTGTGAGGGTTGGCAAAAACCCCTGACAGAAATCTGAGGCCAAAAGACAAGAGCAAGAGAGCTGAGGGCATGTGGGGACAGGGCAGGGCATTAGCCCAAGAACCCCCAGGGAGGCTTGCTTCTCAGGCAGGTATGAAATTCAGTTAACAAGCTCAGCACTTCAAGAAATGCGCAATTTGTATCTTATCATTCAACTTTGTTTTCACTCTCAGCCCCCACCCTCTTAGACTTGTGGGAAATTGAATCTTAGGTCTTCCTGGGGTTTCCCCCTGCACCCAAGGCTGTGCTGAAATTCCGGTGTTTGCCTCAGCCTGCAGGGCCCTTCAGTCCCCTGCTCTGCTGTTTCTGTGACACAGGAACCCTGGCTGTAGGTTCCATCTCCCTGATGTATCATGGATATTTCCACCAAGCGCCCGACACATCCCAGCTGCTAGTGGGCCCCAGAGACCTCTCTCTCCTCTCCCCATGCCAGGCATCTCTTCTTGGTCTAGGGGAAATACTTTTCTCTAGTCCTGTTTTCATTAGAGACATACTTTTTCACCTCAAGCCCTCAATGAACTTAAAAAAAAAAAAAAAAGTTGCCATCAGGTTGATTCCAACTCATGGCGACCGCATGTGTTGCAGAGTGGAACTATACTCCATAGGGTTTTCAAGGCTGTGATCTGTGAGAAGCAGATCACCAGGCCTTTCTTCTGAGGCACCTCTAGGTGGGTTTGAACTGCCAGCCTTTTGGTTAGCAGTCAAGTGCTTAACTGCACCACCCAGGGACTCAGTGGACTCAGGGCTTGGGAAATACAAATCAGGAAGGGAAGTGACTCTAGGCTAACTCTGATTTCCACCTGCCCTAAACCTCCCCTGAGACTAAGGACAGATCCTTTTAGAATGGGAAGAAAAAGAAGGAGGAAATACAGGGAGAAAACAAATTAAGCTTTCAAACAATTATTGTGTTCCACTTTGATGATGATGGTTTGGTTTAAAGTAATGAGGGCAGAATATACACATTCCAACAGGTGTAGAGGCAGAGTCGAGAAAAGGCCTGATACATTTGGAGGATGGTGAGTACATAGGGATTGAGGAGCAAGAGATTGGAGGGGATGGGATGGGACAAGCCCTGGCTGACCATTTATGGAATTTGCATTTTAGTCTGTTGGTAGTAGTAGCAGGAGCCCTGGTAGCGCAGTGGTTAAGCACTTGGCTGCTAACTGAAAGATAGCAGTTTGAACCCACCAGCGTTTCTTCAGCGAAAAGACCTGGTGATCTACTCTCACAAAGATTACAGTCTTGGAAACCCTGTGAGGCAGTTCTACTCCGTCCTATAAGGTCACTATGAGTCGAAATTGACTCGACAACACACAACAACAACGGCAGTAACTGGGGAATCTGATTCCGGAGGTTGAGAGATAGGCTGGCGGTGCAGGTGTCAATTCTGGTGTTCTTATTAAGGAGATGGGTCCTGAAGTCATGAGGGCAGATGAGGTCACCTGGGGAGAGTGTGTGGAGTGAAAAGAGAAGACATGGATGCACTCTGGAGAATTTCATCATTTAAGGGTAATGTCAGTTAGGTTTATGTTAAACTATGCATAATAGAAAAGGCAAGGAACAAGATTATGTACGTTTTTCACTCATCATAGAAGTTCAGAGTTGAAGGATTCAGAGTTAGTATGTTAAATGCACCAGGGACCCAGGCTCCTTCTATCTTTTTCTTCCACCATACCTAATGTGTGTGTTCCATACTCAGATTTGCCGTGATTTAATAAAATGACTGCTTTGGCACCCACCACCACATTTTAGGCAGCAGGAAAGAGGAAGAGGCCAAGGCAAAAGGATATGGCCAGCCAAGCGAGCCTGCTTTTAAGGCAACCTTTACAAAAGACCCACCCCATAACTTCTGCTTACATGTCATTGGCCAGAATTTAGTCATATGACCTAACTTTAATGGAGACTGAGAAATATAGTTCTTAGCTACTTTTTCTGTGGAGTGGGTTCTGACTCAACAGGGTTCTTTTGGTAGGGAAAAGGAGAGAGTGGAAGCTGGGTAAACAACTGTGATCTCTGCCGTAAGGGAGTAGGCAGAGAAGATCAAAAGATAAAGAAATTTGGAGCGAGATGGGGGAGAGAGTGATGTCATAAAAACTTTAACAGTTAAGATGTTTTTGGTTTTGAGTTATTGAAAACCTAACCCAAATTAACTTAAACTTTGCTTAAGTAACCAAACAAAATTTACAAGTAGAACATGTGTGTTCACTGGGGCTCTGGCTTTGCTCTTCCACCATTTTTCTTGGATCTGTCCCTCTGTCTTGGCCTTGTATTCAGGCTGGCCTCAAAAATGGTAATAAAATGGCTGAAGCAGTTCCAGAACTCACACATGCATACACATTGTCTAGAGCAAGACAGATTATATCCCAGACTTGCTAACAAAAGTCCTGAAAATAATTAATCTGTTTATTCAAAAATATTGCTGAGTAGGTACTATGCATCAGGCACTTTTCTGGGTCCTAAGGATAATGTGAACAAAACAAGCATGAATCCTGCCCTGTTGGAGCTTGTTTTAGTCATCTATTGCTGCACAAGAAATCATCCCAAAACTCAGAGGCTTAAAACAACAAACATTATCTCACAGTTCCTGTTGGTCAGGAATCTGGGGTCATGACTCAGCTGGGTGCCTCTGGCTCAGGGTCTCTCCCAGCTGCTATCACGGTGTCAGCCAGGGCTGCAGTCATCTGAAGGCCCGACTGGGGACGGACTCACTTCCAAGCTCGCTCATGTGGCTGTTGGCAGGTCTCAGGTGCTCAATGGCTGTTAGCTGAAGACATCAATTTCTTGCCATGGGGGCCTCTCCACTGGACAAAGAGAGAGAGAGGGCAAACAAGATGGAAGTCAGTCTTTTTGTAATCTAATCTCAGAAGTGACATCCCATGACTTTTGCCTATTCTAGTCTTAGAAGCAAGTCACTAGGTCCAGCCCACACTGAACCTCAAAGAAAAACCAGTTGCCGTCAAGTTGATTCTGACTCATAGCAACCCTATAGGACAGAGCAGAGCTGCCCATAGGGTTTCCAAGGCTATAATCTTTTTTTTTT